CAGCATAGAAAAGTATTGGCAAAATGGAGTAACATTCGATAACCACAACTGGCAAACAATAACCGCGACAGGGACAGCAAGCAGCATGACATCGACAACAGCACGAACAGTCATGACAATGGGCGCATTGCAGCTGATGACAAAAGATCTGCAAATAGTAACGGCAGCAACAAGAATGACAATGACTGCTGACAATGGAACAATGGTGCCTAAAATCCAAGGCTGCCAAAACCCTTGTGGAACCCTTGAAGAAACCTGATTAAAGCCCGTGTAAAATGCTGATAGAAATCTGTGTAGAAACCTCACAGACATCTTTACAGAACCCCCTTTTTTTGACCCTAAACCCGAAACCCTAAACCCTAAACCCTCAACCCTAAACCCGGGTGGCCCTCTTCTCCTCTCGCCCCAAGCCTTCTGGGTTCCGACTTCCCGGTCGCGGCATCCAAAAGCTCCAAGATCGCCTTTTTAGGGTTTAGGGTTTAGGGTTTAGGGTTTGGGGTTTGGGGTTTGGGGTTTAGGGTTTAGGGTTTTTTTTGCTGACACCTCTTTTCCACCTGCCTTGTTAGTTAGGTCGAATGCCACTTTGGCTGAGGCTGTTGCTTGCTGCTTTTAACCATAATGCACCATTACACTAAGCCATAGTTACAAGAAATTGCCATACCATACTTCACAGCTAACGCAACCCTGTCGGAGCAAGCTCAACAATAGGCACATCATGCATACATCACTCACACAGCAGCCTCCACCCCCAAGAAACAACTAAACTAGAATAAATGGAACCCAAAATGCATACCCTCCGGCTGCCAATCGTGACTTCGAATTAGGGTTTAGGGTTTAAGGTTGAGGGATCCAAGAGCTCCAAGATCGCCTCGATGCTGTACCGCTTGGCGATGCCCCGCCTGGGACCAGGTTAAGGTTGTCGCTTTTTTGCATGGCTAGGATCAAGGCCTGGAAACGAGGTTTAGGTTTGGGGTTTAGGGTTTTGGGGTTTCGGCTCTGTTTAGGGCTTTGGGGCTTCGGTCTTACCGTTCACCGCCTGGCCATGACCCACCTCGGACCTGAGCGGCTCCACCCTTGACTTAGGCTACCAGGGTGTTCGTGGCGCTCCCGCAACGCGGACTCCGCCAGGCGAGGTCTCTGAGGATTTGGGCGTTTTGTGACACTCACACTCGGACAAGCCTGGCAAGGTCTGTAGCGAGACTAGCCCAAAGGTGACTGATTAAGCACTTCAGCACGCATCACCGCGTGCCATGTCGTCAGCGAGGGCTTAAGATACGACAGCGACAAATGTACACCCATAAACACTAGCCAATCTGACAACAGACCTCCACAACAGCAACTCGCCTCAACCCCCAGAAGCCCCACAACCTAGTTCCTGCTGTGTGGCATGCACTTCCCGAAAAAACGACCAAATAACCATCAGCAGCTTGACTGGACGCCTGCAGCTGGTAACAAAGATGACTTCCCAAGATAGCCATACTGTTGATGGACAAAATTCTGCAGGAGCCAAATATAGTATAGCACCATAAATCCCATAGTTTAGGTATATAAAGTCCTGCAGGATTTTGTCCATCAACCGTATGACCCAGAAAAGGCTCCAGGCACTCCCTATTTAGCTCAGACTCAAGATTACACTGCATGATGCCATCTTCAGCATCCAAGAAAAACGCCGTATAATTGCTGACACCCATGGGACCACAACATCGTTTTCTAAACCCATTGTCGGGATATCAGGGACACGGGACACCACAGCTGAAGTTGAGCCTGGTCAGCACACAGCATGACCCTTTCCACAATTCTAGCAGATACCTGAATCTCTAGAGGGTTCCCTGTGAAATTTGATGTATACCTCTGTGACTAAAGTGCTCGAGAGTCGGCCCTTGGGCCCGAGGATCACGAAGCCTTTACTCAGTCTAGGGTTTGTTTTTTAGGGTTTAGGGTTTAGGGGGGCCCAGGGCCTCTGAGACTGAAAGCCTAAACCCTAAACCCGAAACCCGAAACCCTCAACATTTCTTGGACTTTTTCTAAAAAGTCCCTGAAAAAAGTAGGGAAGCCAGGGCACAGGGCCAGTGTCGTGGTGTTCTCGTCCAGCTCTCGGGATGCCATTTTTCAAAGGTCCGTGACCAGAGATTAGAGGGGTCTCGGGCACCAAGCCTTATCGACTAAAGGGTAGTGTACTATACAAGACTATACTATACTATACTAAACAGGGGCTTCAGGGACTGCGGAGTCCTCCCAAGGGCTCCCTTGATCGACAGGAAGGTCGCCTAGCCCCACAGCTACGCCCAACCCCAGAGCCAAAATGGCTGAGTCAGGGAAACACCCTCAAAAAGCTGCTTTTTTAGCCGGAAACCCTACGCCCTAAGCCCGAAAAACCCCCGCAAACCCTCAAAACCCACAAACCCAGATGCCCGACAAGCCCTGCAAGCCCAAAGAAACCCCACCCCACGTCCCTTGGCCCTAAATGCCCCAAACCCTTCTCCTCTCCCTACGTCCCTGGTCTGTCCTCACAAGATCGAAGCCGAAGCACACGGAGCCGTAGAGTTGAGGAATCCCGGCATGGACCCTTAACACCCGGGCGTTTTCCCAAAAACTTCGGGGCTTTAAAGGTTTTGGGCTTTCTAAAAAAAAGGGACTCATGAACATAGAACCCCGGCCCGAAACTCACAGCTCTGCAGAGTTTTTTTTCTGCCTGGGCTGCATCCAAAGAGGCGCAGTTGTCCAACATAGACATCCCTTGCATCCGGAGATAACATGCTGCCCACCGCAAGTGGAACATTGCAGGGTTCCCATAAACCATCCTAAACCCTAAGTCCTAAACCCTAAACCCTGAACCCTAAACCAAGCCTGGCCGAGAAGGGACGCCCAGTTGGACACCCAGCTGAAAGCTGAGAGTAAGTAGCACCAAGCGCTTAGGGCTTATCCAGGAACCTCAAACGCTCTTCCTCTGCAGGAGTTTGCACAAGGCTTCTTTTTGGAAACGACACAATATATATATATATATGTGTGTGTGTGTGTGTGTGTATATATATATATGTATGTATGCATGCATGTATGTATGTATGCAAATATACATCCGCATACATATGTGTATATGTGTGTAGATACATGTGTCTATGTACATACATATATATATATATATACACACACAGGTCTATGTACATATATATATATATACAGATGAGTATGTGTATATATATATATACGTATATTTGAATAGAAACGTAAACATGAATGTGTACATACATGCGATTACATATACAGATACATATACAGATACATATACATGTACATACATATATGTATAAATATGTATGTATATACACATGCAAAAAAACATATGTAACACTTATGTGAAATATATGTGTATGTATAATTCTATATGCGTGTACATGTGACCTATGTATATATATATGTATGTGTGTGTGGTGTGTGCATGCATGCGTGCATGGATGGATGGAAGGAAGGAAGGAACGAAGGAAGGAACGAAGGGCGGAGGGATGGATGGATGGATGTGTGCGCGCACATGTATTTGCACATAGAAGTGCATGTATGTATGTCTGTATGTATGTATGTATGTATGTATGTATGTATATCTGTAAAAACATGTACACATATATATATATATATATATATACATATAAAATATGACAACATATATAAGAGTAGACTATCATCTATCATAATGCAATATAAAACAATGTAGTAGAATAGAATATAATTTAGTAGTATATATATATATATATATTCATATGAGCCGGCGTCAAAATTGTTTGTGTCTGCCATTTTGGTTTTTACATTGAGGCCCCTCTATCATTGTACAGTGCTTGCAACTTGAAGGATACTGGAACAAACGACACACTGTTTCAGAATAGGGAGATACGGTACTGAACATGCAGCATTCCAGGGTGCGGCCTTGGGTTGCGGTCTTTGAGGCTTTTTGAAGTCCTTGGAGCTTTTGGGTTTTGAGCTTCGTCTGAATTGCATTTCGAAAGGGCGCGGCATCGTGCAATCATGAAGAACTGGTTTCTCAGAGCACGCGAAGCTTCGTGTGGGGCGGAGAGTGGGGTTCGACAACCTCGACACCTTTAGCAAGACCTAAACTCCCGACACCCGCTCTTGAAAGAAACCAGGAGCAAAGGGCTACAATGGCATCCTCAGATGGATAGACAGATGGATAGATGCGTGGATAGATAGATAGATAGGTAGATAAATAGATAGACAGATAGCTAGATCGATTGATCGATGATGGATGGATGGCTGGATGGATGGATAGATGGATGGATAGATAGACAGATAGACAGATAGACAGATAGACAGATAGACAGATAGACAGATAGACAGATAGACAGATAGACAGATAGGCAGACAGACAGATAGATAGATAGATAGATAGATAGATACACATGACTGTGTTTACCAATGTGTTTTTAGCGTGTATCTATACATATATATATATATGTATACACACACACACGCGCATCCCGGGTTTATTTCTTGGGCACAAAAGAAAGGAGAGTGTCAGGGCTCCTAGGGTTCGGGCTCTGTGAACCCGAGAGGAGGGCTGGCTTCTGCAGCTCAACCGTTCAAAAGATTTGAGGGTTCTTTGGGTTTCGGGTTCAAAAGATTTGAGGTTTCTTTAGGGTTTAGGGTTTAGGGTTTAGGGTTGAAAAGCTTTGAGGGTTCTTTGGGTATTCTTGAACGCTTTAGGGCTGAGTGAGGGGTCTTGCTGGTGTACGACGGGCCAGCGGGAGTTGTGCGTGCAAGCCCATCTCTGATTTACTTGTGTTGATCTGCGGCTTGCCGTTCGCGCTTTTTTGGCGTTTGCACGCGCCCTCTTGGATTTGTGCTGCGCTTTCAGTTGCTTTTGTTCATGCCTCCTTCCATCCTTCATGCCTGAGCAAACAGAGACACCCGTCTGCTTCGACATCTGCATATAGACGGGGCGAGATGGCTCTTTTCTATGGAAGGCCTGTTCTCGATGCTCCGGACCCGTCTCATTAAACAGGGAATGATGTCAAGGCCGCTGATGATTCGGCTGGCGGCTGCCACGCATCATATGCAGCAGCGGGAATCATGTAGAGGAGCTGGAAGACGCAAGCGTCTTGGTTGCAGCGGGGGTCTTAAGCTCAAGGTGCCTTTGAGGATCCATCTGCAAAACGTCGGCTTCTGTCGGCTTTCTGAGGTCCTAAGCTCGAGAAGCCCGTCCATGCTTGCCAGGATGCTCATCACCAGCGCGACCGCCCAAATCAACTGTGGGAACTTCTGCCCCCAGAAGATGGGCTTCAAGGAGGCAAGAAACACCTGAGGCTGTAAGGTCTCCAGTCTCAAAAGGCTTCTCTCCCACTCACATAAGCGCAACTCCAGGCGAGGTTGCCAGGTCGGCAGAGAGGGACTACATTAAGCCCAACGGGTGAAATCAGAAGCAAGGCAGTACCAGCCCCTCGTATCCTAGCACACTGTGCCCAGCATCAGCTGGCAAACTGACAAGCTGTATAGTTAGCCTGCACTTTTCTTCGCGCCAATGCTTCGCATCTGGCATGGTGACTGTAAAACACGCCTTCAAAGGGCCTTTGGCCACTAGCTGGCGTCTGTGACTTCGAAGATGCCACTGGGTGCCGGTTTGGGGTCCACTCTTCGGGTTTTAGGCACAGTTGCATCGGGTTTCAGGTTTCAGTCTAAGCTGAAGCGGCAGGGGCAACGCGACTATTGGGGCGATTGAGCGGAGTCAACCCTCGTGCGGGAAGCATGAAGCCCGGCAGCCAGTTCACATGGGGCACTACAGTGTGACTTAGACAAGAACTGAACGTGGTGCCTGTCGGAACAAGACCAGCGCGGCCCTCACCCTGAGACTGAACCATGAACCCAGTCGCTTCCGAAAACCTGAAGCCCACGTGCTCTTGGAGGGTCACCCAGAACTCTCAGGTGCACGTACCGCAGGATCGACCACAGATCAAACTCACCGAAGAATCCAAGAAGCGCAGCAGGGGACACCAGCCCGCAGCCTGGACGTCTGCACAGCTACCCAGGCCGAAATGGGCGGGTAGGGGACCATCGGGACAAACCGTACTAGCACTGGCGGTCCCATTACAGATTCCGCAGGTGTCAGCGCAGTATTTCGCTGCCTCCTCGGGAATGCCACAGATGCCAAACTGCTTTGCCTCCACACAGCCGGCCATGTTCGCGTTGGCTGGGAAGTTGGCCACATCACCGCAAGCCTTGCAACTGCGTGGGCAGTAGTCGGGGACATCCTCCACCCAACAGCCGCAGGAGACCGGGCAGATGTAAGCCAAGGATGCCGAAAGCTGATTTCCCTGGCACCAGGGAGTCCTTGTGATGGGCTCCTCTTGCACAGACATGAGGCCAGGGCACCCCGCAGCCTTCATGAACCCTACGATGCCATGAACGAACTCAGCACCCGTCACCGGGTTGTTTGGGTCTGAGAAGTTGACCGCCAGATGCTCTTGCATGACATCCGGGTAGCTGTCCCAGAAAGACAGCCAATCCCCATTTACGGGGCTGTCACGGCACTGGATGTCCTGGGAGCGTGTGGCGGCCTCCTCTCGGCAAATGTCAGGGCAACCCTGCACGGGGACCTTGAACCACTGGTTGGCTTGCGGCAGGTGGCAACCGCAGGTGCGAGGGCAGACCGAGCGGAGGACACGCGAGTCGAAGTCATCGCACTTATCCGCCAGCTCTGCGCAGGAGGTGGCGTTGTCTCGACCGAACATGGCCGCGGCGGCGTGGAATCGTGGCATGTGTCTCTCCGTGAAGACGGGGCCGTAACGACGCAGCCAGTTATCCGCATCCAAACAATTCGCAGTCTGCGCGGAAACAGACGCTTGGGATATCACAGTATCTTGGGCAAAAGAGTCCGGATCGTCTGAGAAATAAATCAGATTCCAGTCATACGGCCCCACGAAGGTAGACTCGGCCGTAGGCACCGTGTGCCCCAGGACGGCCCTTTCACTGAGAGATAGGCCCTTCTCGTTTCGGACCGCAAAGGAGGGAGTCGCCAAGCCGACCGTCGTTTGCGAGTCCTGGTTGTAGGCAACGACGAAGTTCTGTGCGCCGAAGCAGAACTCGACCTTTGCCTGCTGCATCATGTCCACCAGAGGTATGACCCAGACGACGATGGGAGTGAGCGTCACCGCGAGGACTCCGATGAAGATCAAGGTCCCCTCCAGTTGGCTCTTCGCCGAAGTGTATCGGACCTTCACGGCCTCCAAACTGTAGACGGCGGCCTGGATCTTCTTCGGCAGCAGAGAGGCGAAGACCAACTCGTCAATCTCGAGGATGGTGCCCAATGCTGAGGCATTCAAGATCAGGTCCGTTATGCTCTTCGTCTTTGCAAGCCACTGCTGCCCAGCCCAGAGGAGGCAGGCCGTGATCGAGGTGCGATACAGGCGTAGCATCAGGTAGACTCCAAGGCGGAAGTAGGATATGGCGACGAAGCGCCCGTTGCTGAAAACACTCTTGCGCGCCCGTGGAATCTGCAGAATCGCTTCAACAGAAATCCAAATCGTGCGGAATTCTCTGCAAAGGTACATGCACCAGAGCAACATGCAAAGCCCGCTGAGGATCATCCCTGGTGCCAAGCCGGACACGGCGAATTCCTGGGATGGCAGGCCTAGGAATGAGTTGATGTCGGCTAGGAGGTTCGCCTGCTCGTTGGATTGGATCAAGGAGCCATCTCCGTTGCAGACCCGGGAGGCCAAACTGGTCCCAGAGAGGTCTCTGTACTTTGCGTCGTGGGCGATGCTTGCCCTCCAAGTTCTCGCCGCAGCTATCTCGGCATCGAAGTCCCCGCCGAGGAAGTCTTCACTGACGAGGACGAAGACAAAGAGGAACTGCATCATGATACTCCCAACTGCAAGGAGCATCGTGAGACAAAGGTCAATCCAGCCGGCGCCTGTGGATCCCAGGACCAAAACGACATTCCAAACTGTTTCCGCAAACGGGATGGGCTCCTCGTCCTGGTCCTCCTCCTCCATCTCGCCGATATGTGGCTCAAACACAGGTGTCCTGGCAGCCATGTCGCCCTTCCTGCTCTTGGCGTCCACGTCAGCGCTTGGGACGACAGCGCTCACACTCCCCGGAAGGACCAAGTCCTCCGGGACGACTGGATCGGCCTCTGGGCCTGCAGTTTCGATCCTCATCTTCTCTTCGACGATCTGAAGGCGCAGCCACAGCGAGGAAAGCTGGCCGTGCATCTCCTCGCGCATGCGCCGCTCCAGCGCCGCCATCTTCTTCTCCAGCTTTCCAGCCGACATGCTTGCAGGGCTTCGGGTTTTTTAGGTGCTTAACAAGGAAGTTTGGGATGGTGGGCCTGCACCCAACTATGCCATGCAGACCTGTTTATGGCGACAAGGTTGCAGAGCCCTTGCAACATCCGACTTCCGCGATGTGGGTTTCTCTGGTTCTGGCGCGCCAAATGTCCGCTTTGCTCCAAAAGTCTTGCGAGGAGTTCTGCGAACTTAAGGCGGTGGCATGTGCTGGTCTGGGCCTGTCAGGCAAAGTCGCAATAAGAATGATAACAACAATCACAACTTCAATGGTGATAATCACAACCCTGCAAATAACACTGGGTAAGAACTAGTGATATCATACTGACCATCAATACTATAAGGAAAACAACAGTAAACAATAGTAGCAATAGCCGCGAAAGCTAGCTAGCGGTGATCATGAGCTCAGCCTCTGGAAGGTCGACACGTGTACTGTCACTGCCTCGAGTACTACAAAGCTTTTGAGTTGAGGGTTTAAGGTTTAGGGTTACAAAGAGGCTTCAAAGCCTTAGAGTGCAGGTTGCAGGGCTTCTTCGGGCCCGGCTGCTGCGAAATACACACCCGCAAGACCAAACCGTCTCTGAAAACCGGCTCGGAAACCTAAGTCCCGGAATGTACGATACGAAACCTAATACAGTACTCCCTAAACCCCCTGTCCTGACCCCGAATCCCCAATAAACTCATTTGCTGAACTCCCTGGCCCAAGAAAGGTTAACCTTTTGGAACATGGCGGCATTATGCACTTAAAGGCTACCTATGAAACTCAACCCCCATAAAGCTCGAAAAAGCGCGAAAGCCTTGCAGCGCGTTGCCTTTGGGTACAGATTTCTCTGTACTCCAAAAGCACAACTCAACCTCCCCCAAAAGCCCAAAACTAAAAGCCTCTCCTCAAAACAAAAAAAACGAAACCCAGGGCTCGCTTAGGCGCAGCGGTAAAGAAGGGCGGCCCCACCAGTGCCATCAGCTCGCTCGCTGACTCAAAGAGACCTCCCACGTTCTCCAAGCAGAAACCGAAAGCTTCAGGGCTCGGGGCCTTTGGAGTTTAGGATTCAGGGTGGAGGGCCTGTTTGGGGGTAGAATATAGGGGTTTGGGGGTTTAGGGTTCAAAGGGGGGTTTTGGAGTTGAGGAATTCAGCTTGGCTGACCAGTGCGCACTGGTCTTAGGGCTTGGGGCTTCGGGTTTGGCGCTGGTGGCTTGCTTTGATGTCGCGCAGCGGCAGCGAAAGTAATGCGCAACAAACGCGTGTCGCAGCGCTCGGTGGGGCTCTGTGACATTGTCAAACAGAGCACTGGCCCCCGACTCCCGACGTGGAGGTCATCCCACGATTCACTTCTAGGGCCCGGTTTAGGGTTTAGGGTTTAGGGGTTCTAGGGCTTGTTGGGCCTCACCTCGTTCACCACCCGGGAGCTTTGTCAACAGACCCTATGCATGTCTGCTCTTTCCGCAGAACTCCGGTAAGGCAGGGCTGGCATAGAGGTCGACGGGCCAGCCTGAGGGTTAAGACATAGAGCTAACGAAAAACGAAGGTCAACAAGAAGGACTTAGGGCTCCGGGTTTGATTCGGATTTCGGCTCCACCAACTGGCGAACCAGACAAGGCCTTTTCAAGCGGCGTGCCGCCTGTGAACGGGATGCACCAACATCAAATTGACTGAACCTTAAACCCTTAACCCCAAACCCTAAAACTAAACCCTCAACCCCAAACCCCTAAACCCTAAACCCCAAAACCCTAAAAAGGGCTTCGACAAGGATTCCTCACCTGCAACCCCAACCTCAGGGTTCCGCCATGCAAACCTTCTCTGCGCCGATCCCTTTTTGTCGGATGTTCCATAAATACGGATTTCGAGCGACACAGGGGAGGTCAGCATGGCCTGGGCGGCGCAGAGCTTTCAGCCGCGCTGTCTCGTGTGTTTGATTGCGGATTCAGGTGTCCAGTGGCGAAGGTTTGTCAAACCTCGCGGATCCGTGCACCCATCACTCATGCTCCGCCCGATGTCTCATATTGTGCTGACAACCGGGGCTAGTTTCTGCCCCTCCAGTGCTGTATTAACACTTAGTCGTCAATTTTCGCAGCGATCAGAATACACTGAGCCCTAACCTCTGCTAAAACCTACACTGCCCTGAACCCCAAAAAACCTGAACCGCTCAAAGCTGGCCTACGACGGCACCGGCAGGCATCCCGGATGTCTGCGCCACGTTGACCTGCAAGTTCGGTTTCGTCTCTCACGACTCGCACACAGCAGGCAAGGCTCCACGCAATCCAGGTTCAGAGAACCTGGCACCGACTGGGAGCATGACTGACTACGACCAGAACCTTTCTGGCCCATCTAACACCATGGCCCAGGCACCACCCACTAAGCCCCCAAGCTCCCAAACGCTGCATGAGGTCGCCATACTACATTTGCCCGAAACTGCTTCACGACATGACCCCAACACTAGACCACCCTAAACACTTTTCAGCACGGACTGAGGTGCCGAAACCCTTTTTCAGCATGGGCTTGGATTGTGTGCCAGCGAACACACCTCAACAGCAGGGCCTTCTCGATTTTCTGCCGAAACCCTAAACCCTAAACCCTAAACGCAACAGCACCCGCCAAAGACTCGCAGAAGCTCAAGGAGCCGGAGAGCAAGAAGACAAGTGGCATAGACAAGCAAAGGCTACTTACTGTCGGTTTAGGGTTTTGGGTTTAGGGTTTAGGGTATACCAGGAAACATGAGGCACCTATCTGGCAAACTTAGTACCCCAAACCGGTCTACAGCGCAACGACAGCACCTCACTTCAAGCATACTAGATGCTTCACGCAGATCAGCTAGGGAGAGGTCACATGCAGATCGTTCACGGTCAAGGCAGACCGCCGTCCAGAAAAAACTTTCAAAGTTCCAATGCACAGGTCACCAAGACCTGCCCTGCTTGGTCGCACATCCCCAGGCAGTGAGGTGGCCAAGTTCATACGCATGCAAGCATACGCAGAGCAGCATGGGTTTGGGGCTTAGTTTAATCCTTTGAGGTTTAAGTGCAACGTCGAAAGGAGACCGCCACTTGGTATCTTTCCGCAGCTTGCTCGGCACGCGACGTCCCGCCCCCGTCCCCAAGCATCGTCGTTACATGCCGTTGCCATCAGCATCGGCATCAGCTGCATCACCACCGGCACCACAATCATCATACCACCTTCGTCGCAGCCAGAGCCTGAGCCTTTGACCCAAGCCTAAACTTTAAAAAGCCTGAAGCCCCGCAGAACCCACTAACGCACAAACCTCCAACCGACCTAGAACCCCTAAAACCCCTTAAAACCCCTAAATCCCCTCGAACCCCTTTTCAGCATGGGCTTGAAACCCCAAACACACCCCAAGCCTTCAACACGTTGACGAAGGTCCCCAAGAGGCTTGTGAGGCCGCCCCTAAGCTGAACTTGGTACCCTTGCAAAAACTCTAAATGTAGCTGCTTCTTGGGTTTAGGGTTTAGGGTTTAGGGTTTAGGGTGTAAATGTAGCTGCTTCTTTGGAATTCTAATAGCGGAACTAATAAAAATCATTTCCAAGTACCCCTAAGGGTCAGGGCCGTCGCCACATAAAGCGGGCCCAGAGATCGGGCGACCAAGTTCCTGGGGATCGCTGTGCGAGGGGAGGGCCGAGGGTTTAGGGTACAGGGTTTAGGGTTTAGGGTTATAGGGTTTAGGGTTTAGGGTTTAGGGTATAGAGTTTAGGGTTTAGGGTTTCAGGGTTTCGGCGTTCACACTGGGCATGTGGTTCGAGGTCTTGCTCAAGTGAAACTTCCCAGCGCAGCGACTTTGATGGCTTAGGGTTGATGGTTTTGGGTTGTCCATTTGTCTTTGAAGGCTTTGGTGTCTGCACGATCTCTCGGCATCTTCCAGTCAAAACTGGGCAGGTGGACATGGCACACCTACGACCCCTTGGAGCCTTTATCTACACAGGACCCCTTGGAACCTGCGCTTTGGCAACTCAGACACATGTAGTGATCCTTGTTCAGGACCTCTTTTTGTGTTCTTTAGGGCTTAGGGTCTAAATTCGTGCACTCGTGGTTGAAGGTTGAGGGATTGGGAGAGGGATGCTTCGGGGCGTGGGCCTCGCTTAGGTTTACGATTTGACTACCGCATTTCGTGAGGGCGGGGGCTGAAGTGCCATAGTCTCGCGCCGACACCATCATCAACACCACCAGCAAGAAGACTTCAAAGCGATGCTGTCCCAGCTCAGCCCAAAACACGGCCATACCCTGAACCCTAGTGCTCAGGCTTCAGGGATCTACTAGCAGCCAGAATGATCATCAAACCAACAAGGGTAGCATGACAGCAGGGCAACCCAACATGGCCTGCATTGCAACATTGGGAATCACTGTCATCGGTTGCAATCATCACGGCAAAGACCCTAAGGCCCTACACCTTAATCCGTCAGACACTGCAGCCATCCGTCCAGCCAAGATGCAGAAAGACGCTCACCATGCCGGCGGACATCGAGATCAGCACTTGCCTCACTTCTCCCCAATCCGACAGAACAAAGCATCAACTGCCGCAACTTTATGAGGGCTAACGGCAAAAGCACTGTCCAGCTGACGGTACCTGAAACAACTGCACCTGGCACAAAAGACCTGGTCAAACTGACACATGACATAATGCGTGCTACCTGTTGTGCTGTGTGATCCTCCCATGCACCTAACAAAGGTAACCTTTGCAAGGGACCACGCTCCTTTACGGGTTGGATATGCTATCCCACGGGGGTCTAAACAGCTTGAACCCCTCAATTCAATACGGAAGCTGCCTCTTGGTGCTCAGCCTTGTCTTCATCAGTTTGAGGAGCACCAGGTTACCTCAGTTGGTGGTGCCAGGGCATGTGGAGTGCTGCGAATAACCCAGTGAGAGGTGCGAGCCCTGGCTTTGCACAAAAGGTGTCAGTTTAGGGTTTAGGGTTTAGGGTTTAGGGTCCATGTCAGTCTCACTTCATCACTGGATGCGCAACACCATGCCGCACTGGGGGTGGTGCAATGGCAGTTGGAGAAAAATACGACTTGTGGAGTTGGCAAAAGTCAGTGGGTGAGACAAGGAGACTCGACAAGCTTCACGATGCACAAACAGAGAGCTGAAGAATGATCAGTGCAGTACAAACGTGCCGTCACCTTTGCCGGAACCGCTCCTGCATCCATGGCTGAAGATTAAGATAGCTTGCGGTCGTTCAAGCTTCTGCAGATCCTCCCTGTCCCTCAAACGCATCTAGCGGGCACAAACTCCAGGCTCCAAATACTTCTGGATGCCTCTTAGAGCCCTGGGCTTCTGCAGAAGTCTAATGTAGGAACCTGATTAAGGAACCCTGGGTCTTTATCAGGGTGCTTAATATGAACCCTAATATATTTGGGGCTACAGGGCCAGGGTGTCTTAATCAGGCTCCTACATTAAACGCCAAACTCTACCGGGCTCTCGGCAAAGAAACACGGATGCCAAACCCTGAAACCCTCTTCTTTCTCTCCTATCCGGGCAGCAGAAGAGGCCACTGGCAACCCCAATCAAGGTGAAAGTAGCCCGCAGCCTTGCCGGTTGACTCTCATCTTCTTTGGGGTTCTTGTTGAGGGATTTAATCTAAGTCACCATAATAGGGATCTACAGTAAATAATATGGTTTCATTCTTATGGTATATAACTTAAAAGTAAATCTCCTAACAAGAACCCAGTCTTTGGGGTCTCGGGGGCTTAGAAACGTTTTTAGGGGCTTTTGGGGTCTGGAGGGTTCGGGGGAGGTTTAGGGTCTTAGGGTCTGGGCTGTTGGTGAGGTTTAGGATTTAGGCGGGTGTTTACCTGCGGCCCGCCTTTTTAAAGAACTACATATAAAAACCATAAGAGGTTTTAAGGAACTACATATAAAAACCATGAAAGGGAAGCTTAAAAGGTAGGTCTTTTCGGCTAGATTCATTAGGAGGTCGAGGGCTCTGGGGTTTCGACTCGCGCACTCGCAGCAGAGCTCCACGGTCTCCACTCGACTCTTGGGCTCTCGTGGACACATATTGATATTGAGGGAGGGGTGTCCTTACAAGTAGTGCTACCTTACGCAGGGGTGCATGAAACATCGTTCATTTGCTGAACCCCCCCCTGTATTGACGTAGCAAGTGCTTGCATATGCAAGTTGGGAAGTCCAGCATCCCACCCTCCCTGTGCACCCGAAACTCAGCTATCCCAAGCAACCAGGGTTCAGGGTTTTGGGGGTTCTATCATACCAAGTAAAGCGACAGCCTAGCATCAACAGGTAGCTAATAGCGCCACTCAGCAACGCAGTAAGTTGCACGGGTTGGCTGGAACAAGACCATCGGACCAGAGGACTGTCCTCTGGTCCCAGAGCTGTGAAAGACGTCCAAAACGACGGAGTAGAAACACACCCTTCGGAACCCTTCCCTGCCAAACCCTGCACTCTGAAACCCACATCTTGATATAAACCCCCCAATCCCCCTCAACCCTAAACCCTAAACCCTAAACCGACCCTGAACCCCAAAACCAAGGGTTCCCCAGACCGGCCTTGAAGTCATCCCAAAGACGTTCTTGTTGTATTGGCCCTCGGGGGACGACGTTCTCGGCACTTCGGAAGGGCCGGGTGCGGCGCTCTTTGGGGTTCATCGTCCGAGGTATTCGACGCCCAGAGAAGAAAATGTGCTCCCAAAAGGCTACATGCAAGGTCAGCAGCTAAACCACAAGAAAGCTACAAACCATCAGAAACAGAGGCACCGCCAGAACTACCCCGAGCTCTTCTAGAACAGACATGCTACAAAAACTGCAGCACTGTAGTATGCTCAATATGGTCCGCATCAGTTGTGTGCTTCGGGTGGCCACCAGCCCAGACCCCACCAACAAGCAGAGCGTCGCTGACATCTGCAGTGCCTCGTGTCACCGCGCTGCTTACAAGCACGAGGATCAGCACCTAAGGTGAAACAAGGCCTCGAGGATTTGCTCTTGGGTGTAGGTTCTTCGACCCTTGGGTTTCCAGTGGCTTCGACTTCGACAGTCTGTAAGGCCTTGAAGGGTTCAGGGTCGCGGTTGAATGGCTTGCGCATCTGCCGGCCTCTTCTAAGAACCAGGATCGCCTTGTAAAGCCTGAAGCCAGTAATCGAAGCACTGAAACCCCTAGTTGTCATTCGGGCATTCCGGCGTAGATGCTGGGTTCAGAAGACCGAATTCAATCTCCGCACTAACTTGAAGAAAGCCACCTGAGCATCCCCGTAGCCGATGCACAAACACCAAGTTCCGAAATCCCTACATGAAAAGATCACCTCTCATTTCCAGTTAGTGCTGATCGAATTCCAGGAAGCCTCCAACAGCCTAGAAAACGTCCTGAGAAGCAAGCCTGCGCTCAGGAAGCCCAAATAAGAGAAAACAACTCTCGCCAGACACCTCCCAAAATCCTGCTAATAGAATAAAGAGACCTAATGTTTCATATTTAAGGCTTGGTATGGTATAGTACGTGGTCCCACGTAAATTTCTAATAAGCAACCCTGCGAGGTAGCATTGGAAACCCAATAAAACTTCCTCTTCAAGAACCCTGCCCACACAAGAACTGCAACCGCGGCGCTGTCCGCGACGTAGGGTCCTCAGCTCTCTTGAAATCAGATAATCAACTTCGTAGCTTCCGAAGCCGGCGAACTCAGAAACTTGGGGAAAACTTGGGGACCCCATTTGCAGCAGGGGTTGTGTAGATTCCAAAACCCCATGGCCCGTAACCGTGACCGCCATGCTTTGGAAGGAGATGAGCGTGCCTTGGTGAAACACAGGAATCGCCCCTTCTCATAGGTTTCACAGCCAGGTTTCTAGGTTCTGCACACAAGTTTCCGGCTTCTCACAGACAGGGTTCCAGTAAGTCTTCCATGGGCTTTTCCCGCATGTCCCGCAGGCTTTTGCGGGCTGCTCACGGGCGTTTCGAAGGCTTGTCACCGGAATGGTGCTACTGGCGCGCTCGATGAAGAAGATGATGATCATGATGATTCGTCCAAGGGGTGATTTCAAGCTAGGGCTAGGAACGATAAATGCTGCGACTTCTTGCTGGTGACAGAAATAATCAGGACATTTTGTCATCACTCCGTAACTCCCAAACTTTGCATAAAGGCCAAAGAAGAAAAGGATGCACCATAGGGTACAGGCCCTCGGAAGCTGGAGCTTGGGAGAGGGGGCTTTTGCGCGAAAAAGGGCCGATGCTAATGTAGAGGCCTCAATAATTACCTACACTAATTTGGGGGTTCCTTACCATAATTACAGTATAATGGGCCCCAAAACCCTATTCTAATTATTAAGGCCCCCAAAATGAACCCACCAGGTCTCCGAAAAGGGCGGCCGTGGCCTTCAGCTGCTCCAAAACACTCGGAGCTTCTTCATGGCAAGCGGGCCTTTGAGTTTTTGTCGTGGAGCTACCCAGAGACTCCAAAACCCCTTAATGAAGGAATAGACCTTAAAATATAATAGGGATCCCTAATACGACTTAAGGTATATTCCTTAATTAAAGGGTTTTGGGGTGTCTGGGTACACTTTAAGGAACTCCCATAGTAGGGTGCCCCGGTTAGCAGGAACCGCTGCAGCAGCAGCAGCAGCAGCAGCAGCAGCAGGAGGAGGTTAGATTGGCCTTCCCAGGTCTGCACTCTCGACCTAGAGGTGTTGCGATCCTTTTAAGGGTTTAGGGTTTAAGGGTTTAGGGTTTAGGGCTTAGTCCTAGCGGTTGTTTCGAATCTAAGAAGGGCGCCTGCATGTAGAACGACGGTCACATCCCGCAGCGAAGCAATTCCGGGCCCAGCGGCTTGAACGAGTCTTTTGCAGCACTCCCAGTAGGACATGTCGGAAGTGGTCTCTGGCGCAACACCTGCCAAAAGGGTTGCGAGGAGTGCTTGAGGTCTGCAGTGGGGGGGTTTTGCCGCCAGATTCAGAAACTTAGAGATGATCGTGTTAGAGCTGTCTCTTGGGTTCTCGAGCATCTTCAGGTGTCCCCGTTGGGCTCAGATCTCCGGGAATGCCGCTTAAAGTCCCGAGTTCAGGGCTCCATTTGGGTCGTAGGATGGAAGTTTGAGGCTGCAGAGTTGTCGGCTTTTGGCGGCTGAAGGGAATTGGCTTCCGCAGCTCGGGCTCGAGGTTTGGATGCGAGTCGCCCGAGGCGCGAGCTCGCGCTGCAAAGCCACCAAGAGGGCACATGTGGGTGGTTGTCTAAATTATGGTCCTTATTAGAATACGGCACCTATTCTTTAGGGTACCCCAAAAGGGACCATAAACGTAGAGGTTTGGGTGCTCGGGGCTACCTCAAGCAATGCAGAGCCTAGATGGAACGGACCCCCACTTGCGGCGGCGATTGGCCCGAGCTTCAATAGTGGGGGCAAAGCCTCAATTATGACCCGACATTATTGGGACAGCTGAGGATTTTTGCCCAGGGTTTATGGCGTCAGGCTCCGTGTTGATGGGTAGCCTGAATTGGCGATTGCGCTTTACACTATACTATACCTGTATAGGGTAAGTAATTATTAAGGCCTAAACCCTATCAAGCTCCCAAAACCCAAAACCTTGCTAAGCTCGCAGGAAACTGCCACGAAGTCAGTCCCCGTGGCATACAATGCCTCTCCGCTGCCCCAAGCCATACGGTCATATACACCCTAAAGCTTTCCCTTACCCTGAATACCGAATTCGCCTACCCCAACCCCTAAACCCGTCCTCCAGCACGCAGGCTGAAACCCTTGGACCTTCGATTCGGCGGTTCCGAGTTCCTAGCATATGGAAGTACATGAGAATCGATTTTAATACACGACAGTACACTATGGTACATCAAAGTATATCAATTATGGTGCATTATAGTATACTATAATGCATTACCGTATCTTATAGTATAGTGTAGTTATAGCATATTATTGTATATTGTAGTTACGCTATAATGTGCTGTAGCACGTTCAACAGGTGGACTCCCCGGAGCGTTGGGCTTCGAACCTTCCGTTTTCCGTCATGAGGGTCTGCTACAGGGTTCGAAGGGGGCTTAGGTTTTTTTTGAGGGGGGAGTTCAGGAGTTAAGGTTTAGGGCTTAGGGTGAGCGGTTTAGGTTTAGGGTTTAAGGTTGTAGGTTTAGGGTTTAGGAGATCACTGCAGCTGCCTTGGCCTTCGAGATTGTGGCGGTGTGAAATGAAGAAAGGGCTTCAAGGAAGCAAACTGGCTTGAGGTGATGCTCGCCCCTTCGCAAAATCACGAAGGCTTCAAAACAGGTCGGGTTTAAGGCTTTGCGTCCCTCACAATTCACGTAGGTAGATACTCTTACCCTACGCATCCCTAAACCGTGATATCGCTGAAGAGACTCATGTATAGCTTTGAACAACTGTCAGAATCACCTTGTCGTCCTCGGCTCCTAATCCTAATCCAAGCACGTCAAAACCCCAGTCAAACTGTCCGATTCCCTTCTTGTTTACAAAACCCTAGAAATCCCGAAAAAAATCCTACTTGTGAGAGAACCCGTCTTTGCGCGTTTAAAAACCCTCTACTTGAGGCCCGTGAGTTGCACCGGGAGCTAGGGAATTCGGGTCCATGAGAATCCGGAAAGCCCTGAATTTCAGAAACCGGAAGGACCATACCATGAGATACAGTAATATTCTATAGATACTGTAATATGCTGTCATATGCTATCAGATACTATCTATCATATACTACCAGATACTTTCACCTACTGTCATATGCCATAGTACACTAGACCCGGAAGGGTTTAGGGTTCAGGGCTTCTGCCAAGCGATCAGACAGCTGAAAAACCTTCTACAGCCTGGAGAATCCGTGGGCGCAACGAGCTAGTATAGGGTGCAAACTCTGGTATAGATACAATCAACAACCTGAAGGAATCATACTGGGTTTGGGTGCATGTTCGAGTATAGATATGATACAAACGGAACCTGAAGGAATAATACTGGTGTGTTCAAGCTTCTATGTTCAGCCCTGTCCTGCGCAGTCCAAGGACTTCAAAGCCTTTCCACTTCACACTCCAAGGCGTCGGTGGTGTTTGGTCTATAGCTTATGAGAGTATACTAAAATATGTCAGACAGTCCCTTACAGTGGTAACTGTATCATATGGTGGTGTAACATAGCATAGTATAACCTGGTGCATGCTTAGCTGCGACTACTACTTTTTAAGGCCCTCGGGTTGATCTTGGGTTTAGGCTGGAAGAGCAGACGCCCCTCAGCTCCTGAGACTCCGGCTCCGGCAGGAGGAAGATGGCGACCAGGACCGCGATGAGCTTGAAGAAGACCATGAAGTCCAGGAGCTAAGCAGTTTAGGGGTTCAGGGTTTAGGGTTTAGGGTTTAGGGTTGGAGAAAATGGATGTAACATCACAAGCAAAGCAGGTGTAATCGCCTAAATAAGATACCCTAGTATCGAGAACCTCCCATCTAAACTCCTGCTCGAAGTGCGGTTAATGGGTCGTACTCGTCTAGATGAGGCGTAGGGCATTGGCCTATGTCACGGAGAAAGAAACAAGAGACGACAACTGCACATCCCATGCTGTAGGGATCCCTCATGTCTCCGCCTCGAAGATCTCGCAACCCTGCAAACGGCATGTTTATGAACCCCATCTGATTCTCCAGAAAACTGATACATGCGCACGGTGTTTACGCTTTGACAAAAAATAACACGTCTCTTTCAGGGCTGTATACCTTGTTCTATCATAGGCATCCCTTCAACAGGCTCCCTTCTGCCCTGTTGAGGAGACCACCAACAAGGACGAGCCTGAATTATCAGCTTAGGGCTTAGGGTTTAGGGTTTAGGGTTTCGGCGCTCACACTCGGACACTCCAAGCGAGGCATATGGTTCGAGGCCTGCAATGAAGTGAAACATACGTTGAGCTCCAGACCCTATCAAATAACGAACAATCGGATGCAACCTCTAAAAGGGGAAAGGTCTTCTTCCCGTTTGAAATCCATTTCCGATCTTAGGGTTTAGGGTTTAGGGTTGTAAGAGATCCTCCATCCTGGAAACCCCTGACTGGCGGCGGTCGCAGGGTCGGTGACCACTTCACCCACCGTGGGCGCCACAGCGCTCTGGAAGAGTCCAGAGGCTCAATCAAGACTTGGGTTTCAGGGCTTCGGCCTAGGGCTTAGAATTTTTCAATCCAGCTTGGGTTGCGGGATCGGGTGCGGGACTCCCAAAGAAGAGCAAGGGGTCTCTGGTTTTGAGCGGGGAAGGTTCGAAGCTTCGGTCTGTGTTGCAGCTGGAGGCCGAAAATGCTGGTGGCCAGATTTTGCTCAGGGTCTCAGCTTTCGCTTGGTCAAACACCTCAGGGCTTTGTGCTCCAGCTTGGTTTGGGACATAGTGAAGCCCTGGTTGCCGAGCCTGCCTGCAGTATGGTGGCCGCTGCGATAATGCCAAAGAACGTGGTCCGGTCCCCCTCGTCGGTCATGTCCATGGCCCAGATATTGAAGAGAACCTGACCAAGTGTTCGAAGAGCTGCGGGGATTCAGGCAACTAGCATAGCGCAATGCCCAAAACTGTTGCCGTGTGCCACGACGATCGATTTCTCATCCGATTCTTCCAGGGCTGCGACCCAGCCTATAAACCCCATATAGACCACCTACCAAACCCCCTAAACATTCAAACCTCCATGAACCCCTTACCATATCACCCCCAATCCCCCCAATACACCCCACAACCGAAGCCCCGGCCCAGAGCACTGTCCAAGGAGCTCCAGTCGGAACGAAAGACTGCAGAAGAGAGCCTGCGTAGAAGAAATAGAAGGGCCACCTGGCGAGGGTACTATGAAGGTACGCAAAAGGTTCTATAAGGGTGTGGTAAAGGTACTGCAACGGCCTTCTATAAGGGGAAGCGTGCTAAAACCGTGCCATATGGGTACCATAAGGGTACTATCAGGTACCACGTAAGTGTATAAGGGTTCTTTTTGGACGCCTTCAGGGTGCTACTGTACGAAAGGTTCTCTACGGAGATGTGGGGAGTTGCCACTAACGAAACCCGAACCCTACTCATGCTTGCGGCCATTCTCGTCGTTGGATTCGAATCGGCTCCTGACGAAGCCCCACCAGAACCTGCTGCCAAGCCCTCTTTCCGCCTGAAGGCTGCCTTGACCCTGAATCCGAACCACTGCGAATGAGGAGAACACACTCCCGAAGCAAAACACCTGTAGTACAAAACATACACCTACTTTTGACAAAGGCGGTGGAACAGGATGAACGACTCCTGCCCACACCGGTCAGAAATCTGCAATTTTTTGCCGTCGCATCGAGACCCCCCAATTCAGCCATTCCTGGCTTCTGGATGCTTGTGGGTATGCAGCCAAGGGTAAACTCAAAGCCGGAAGCCCGAGCAACACCCGTTTAGGGTTGTCCAATGCGGCGTGTTGCAGCCGGAAAACCTCCCTGCGAAGCACAAGCTCTCTATCCGAAGTAAGGTTTCTCTTGTTGAAGTGTTTAGGGTTTAGGGTTTAGGGTTTAGGGTTTAGGGTTTAGGGTTTAGGGTTTAGGGTTTAGTCTCTCAGGGCCCGAGTATCCCAATGAGCTCGGGGGGATCTGAATCCTCCAATCAAACACAGATCCACAACCCGAAAGCGCACCGCACCTGAGGTAGTAGACAAAGAGGACAGACAGTGAGGAGATCTTGCTGGCCAGGACCTCGGTCTGGCTGCTTGCCGATGAGCTTAAGCCAGGAAGAGTTGTTATTAGGGACTTTCCGAAAATAAGGGGGGTACCTTATTTTGGGGTCCTTATTATAAGGATCCTATTATTTAGGGTACTATATTAGGGTCCCCTATTTTCGGAAACCCCCATTTGCTAGACACCCTAATAATCCCCAAAAAAAGGAACCTGCACCTAGATTCCATAGCAAGAGCTCGGTTCCGGGTTGCGGGCACAGGGGGTGTTCCTAGGTCTTCGCAAGGAAGCTACACGGTCCGAAGGGAGGCTGCAGAGTCCAGTTGGAGCCTGTCCCTTGGGCTCGAATACCGCATTCAAACCTGGCCCACACCTGAAATGGAGCCTTAAACCCCATCGAAGCCTATGCCCTTGTTATTGCATGATTCGTCTTTTAGGACGTCGTCGTCATGCACTGCCAGTCGCCGAAGTCCTCTTCATGAACTACCCAGCGTATCAGCAATAGCAGTAGCAGCGGCAGACGTTTTGGCAAACGTTGTAATAGCCGTCAGCAGCCGCGGTAGCGTCAACATCACCGTCCCTTTAAGTCGAGCGCTTTGGTGGCCAATTAGCAGTAGTAGTAGCAGTAGCAGTAGTAGTAGTAGTAGTAGTAGTAGTAGTAGCAGCAGTAGCAGCCCCGTCTCGCTTTTTTCTGCGCACAGAGATGCATCTCGGCTCTGCTCAAAGCAGCTGCGTCTGGCAGAAAGCCAAACAAGAACCCTATGGACTAATACAACCAGCCCTGCAGGAACCGAAAGACCCTAAAAGCCTTAAAAGCCCAAAGACCCTAAAACCCTGAAAGCCTACCAATCTCAATTGAATCCGTTTCTCTTACGCTGTCAGGTTTCCGCTGTTCCCTCTTTCTGCACTGCGGCGCTTCGCCGACTCGCGCAGGCCAAAACGTTCGCAGGCCTCGCGCCCGAGGCCCACGCAACACCAAACCGTGGCGTGCAACATGGACCTCCAGGGTCGGAGTTTGCTGGGTAGACATTTGGAGTTTGTGGCCCTCAACCCTCAACCTGTTGAGTTCGGGATTTTTTTAGGGTTCCAGGCTCAACGTTGGGCAGGGGTACCAGCGGTTCTGCGGCAAGGGTCCTTTTGTTCAAAAAAAAACCAGACACTAAACTTTAGGCTTGAAACGTTTTGAACTCCTACGAAACCTCCGAAACCCTCAGCCCTAAGCCCAAAAGCCCGCGTAGTGTAACACGAAGCCCCAAGAGCCTGAAGCCCATTCGGTCTGTAGAACTAGAACCCAAAGCCATTACAAGCCCTGAACCCTCAAGCCCTGAAAGCTTACGAAACAGCGAAGGAGTACCAACTATAAAACCCTACATCCTAGCATCCTCAATATAAGGACCCCTAAGAAACCCATAGAGCCTTCTGAAACCCTTTTTGGGTTTTTGAGGCCCCAAGCAACAAAGCTCACCACCTGGTAGGCAGGCCGCGGAAAAGCCCGAGGATCCCATGCTTCTGACAGATGGACCGGAAGGTGCCTCTAAGGCTTTCAAGGAGGCTTAGGGGTTTAGGGTTTAGGGTTTAGGGTTTAGGGCAAGGAGGCTTAGGGGTTTGTAGAGGTTCTTATAGGGTTTGCAGGGGTTTGAGGATCTTGGTTTTCCAGGAGGCTTAGGGGTTTGTAGGAGTTTTTGTGGGGGTTTGTAGGGGTTTGAGGATCTAGGGTTCAAGGAGGCTTATGGGCTTTTATGGGGGTTTGTAGGGGTTTGAGGAGGCTTAGGGGTTTGTTTGCAGGGGTTTGAGGATCTTGGGTTTCAAGGAGGCTTAGGGGTTTGTAGGGCTTTTATGAGGGTTTGTAGGGGTTTGAGGATCTAGGGTTTAGGGCTCAGGGGTTTGGAGGAGCTAGAGGCTCTCGCAACTCAGACACAGGATTTCAGGCTTTAGGATTCAGGATTCTGGACCGCCAGATGCCTAGGCTGGAAGCTGCAACAAGTCTTGCAAGCCCTTGTTCATACTAGTTTGCCAGGGCTATACCGATCTTTCCAGCGTTGCTGTACGGATTTTGGGAAGGACTCCACAAGGGCTTACAGGATGTTAGGCTGTTCTAGTGATACTGTAGTATGACACACCCGTTATGGGTACCCTACTTGTTGTGCCCGCCGCGGAGCCTAGGGTGGAGTGCTGCGCAACCTCGCCGGTGGAGGCCTGGTATGCCTCGGGTCGGTTTGGTTTCGAGCTTGATCTCGCTTCTCGTTCGAACCACCTATACAATCCACGGAGGATACAAGCATGGCATCTCGACAGAAGAAAATCTTACTATGATACAACAACACATACCTACAACGCAACACTGCAAAGTCACCACCGCAGAAGCACCCTAAACCCTAAACCCTAAATCCTAAACCCTAAACCCTAAACCACACAAAGCACGGCTTGAGGCGACTGACATGGACCCCAAGTCCCCTTAGTTCAGAAACACGCGCTAAATCTTAGGGCTTAGGGCGTTCATACAACCTTGGACCCCTAAAAACCTGAAAATGTCAGTGAATACCATATCCAGCTTCTAATCATGCACCACCCCCTAGCCCCCAACAATAACAACCCACTGCTGATGGTAACATGAGTCCAGATAGTAGCAGGAGGAACATTGGCTGCAAACCTTTGCACCGCTTTACAAGCCAAGGAACCGTGTAAACCTATAGAAAACCCTATACAAACGTGCAACAGCCCTCTGAAATCCCTCATGAACCAAAAGCCGTATAGACCCTGAATCCTCCCCAGTGGCCTCTCCCATCATCAGCCCCTTGACTCGGTCAAAAGGATAGTTCACCTCGGCTGAAGTGTGTTTTTGGTGGGTAAGTTTAGCAGTTTGAAGCTCAGGGTTCACAAAGGATATAAGGTTGAAGCCATGGGCCCCTAGTATGGGCCCTTAACCCTGGAATCCTTATATACCTACTATGTACCCTATATGTACCCTTAAGGGTCACTAGAAAGGCCTAAGGGCCCATATTAGGGGCCCATACTTCTAACCTTAGAAAGGACTGATAGATTGTTACAGCTATAAGCTTCTATAGGGCCGGGGAACTTGCGGACCTTTGGGGATGTTCAGGCTTAAGACGTAGCTTCCATGGTTTCGTCATGGGCTCCGTGTGTGTGAACTCAGGCTTGAAGTTGCGGAGTTTGTAGTTTACAGGGCGTAAGTCTTCAGTCTACAGAGCTGTGTTGGGCTTGAAAAAGTATGGCTCAAAGGCAAGGGTTGCGCTTGCAGGCGTTCAGACCTCCCGCAACCTCACAACCTCCCTGTGACGTAAGGGTTGTCGGTTCATTCCAAACTGCGAGCTTGAGCTTCAAGAGCTTCGTTCATGGCTGGATGCTTGGGGTTTACAATTTACGGTTTGGCATGGGCTTGGGTATCAGAATTCGGGATCTCGGTAGCTGACTTTGCGATCCAAGGCACCGTCGCCGCGATGAGGCCTGCAAACATGAAGCCCACGGTGCTGACAAAGAACCGCGTGCCAGCGGAGCAGGCGACTCCATCGTGGGAGACCCACCTAGGAAGCCGAACAAACCCAGGCGTGGGCAAAAATGAAACCCTGATCCCGAAAACCCACCCCCAAAGCCTATTCCCCAAATCCTCTTCACCAAGTCTGAACCTTTAAAGGAGAACCGATGGTAAAGCACAAGACGAGTCAAGGAGGGCACTGGTGGAAATGATTCTGAAAAGTTGCCGAAACCGGTTGGAAGTCCAGAAAGTGAGAGTTTAGGGTTTAGGGTTTAGGGTGAGCGACCCTACTCTGGACCCTAGACAATAAAGGACCTTGGCAGGAAGCTGAACCCTCAACCCTAAACTCCTAAGCCCTTTCCCCAACCACCCACCCAACCCTCCCTAAACCCCTAAACCCCGAAACCCTAGGCCCTAGCCCTCAAACTCTAAACCCTAAATCTTAAACAACCTTGAACCCAAAAACCCGAAACCTTAAACATCCTTAAACCCTGAACCCTAAACCTTGATGATCTCCAGAGCGCTCCCTCAGCCGGCTGTTGTAGAAGAACAGCTGGCCATCGAAGAGGGATGTGCGGATGATCAAGGGTGTCGCTGCATAGAACTTAAGCCTCAAGGGAGCCTGATAGGCCCCCTGCAGAACGGAGGAATAGATCCTGTTTCAAGGCCTTAAGGCTTTGAGGGCTTAGGGTTTGGACTTTGGGAGTTGTGGGGCTTGGTGCTTTTTTGGGCTGCTTTGGGCGTCTTGTTTCTTTTTTCTTCGGGTTCGTTTGGGCGGAGCAGGGGCTCAGAAACGCCCCTGGGGTTGAGAAGTTTGGGTCGCAGGTGTCAGCTCTTCTGGGTTTCGGCGCTCACACTCGGACAACCCGGCCGAGGCGGTTCTGGCTTTAGGGTTTCGGGTTCCGGGGTCAGGGTCTCGGGTTTAGGGTTTAGGTTCAGGCCCCGTCCTGGTTTTGATCTTCTTCTCCTTCAACCAGGACTCTTGCAGGGCCATGATGGTTTTGATCTGCTCCAGTGGTGTCGCAACGAAGCCGCAGAGTGACCCGATGCTGGCACCTGCCAGCGCTGGCCGCCAGTAGTCCGGCACATGGTTTAGGGCCCAAAAGTTGTCGAAGAACCGGTAGCCGCCGAACATCAGAGCCCCCATGATGAAGGAGTTCGCCCCCACGCCGGGGTAGCCTCGGAAGATCCGCAGCTTGTAGTCCTTCGGCAATCAGGCTAAGGCTTCACTACTGCTGATGGACAAAATTCTGCATGACCCAAATATAGTATAATACCATAAATCCCTTAGTTTAGGTATATAAGTTCATGCAGGATTTTGTCCATCAACCGTGTCACTGAACGCGGGCTTCCTAAAAGCCCAGCCGCTCCGAGCTTCGAAAGACTTCAAAACTCAGCCGTCAAGGCTTTTCATTTGATGGCTAAATTCAGCTATCATACTGTAGGGTATTTGGTTCATGGTCTTTTTGGAACGGGCTTCGGGTTTAGGATTGAAGGTAGATGTGATGATGTGAAGCTTTTGAGCACCCCGGAGCGATTCATGGTATACCCGTGAAAGCTACGAGCCCTACGGGAGTCCTTCATCAAGCACGGAAGACTGGAGAGCCGACTGTATCGCGGGTGCCCTGACTGAACCTGCTGAGGTCGTCTCAGGCACTCGGGGGGTAGATTATACTTTTACTATAACAAGGGGCCCCCAAAATGAGTATAGGTGACTATTAAGGCCCCTACATTGGTTAAAGGTTTCAGGCATTTTTTTTTTGCCTCCCGCCTGGCTAGGACGAACCTACGATGCAGGGCATAATTGGGCTTATTATTGGTAAGCGGCAGTCTGGGTAACCCTAAACTAAACCGTACGGCAGGGAGTAGCATCGGCAGGGTCTCGTCCTAAAGACCTCGCGGTTCAGGGCTTTAAGCGTTACATTACATTGCATTGCATTACACTACACTACATTACGTTGCATTACATTGCATTACATTACGTTATTTACATTACTTACATTACTTACATTACTTACATTACTTACATTACTTACATTACTTACACTACTTACATTACTTACATTACTTACATTACTTACACTACTTACATTACTTACATTACTTGCATTACTTGCATTACTTGCATTAATTGCATTACTTGCATTACATACATAAATACACAAACACATACATACATACATACATACATACATACATACATACATACATACATACATACATACTGTTGCATACCTACACACATAATGCCTACAAAGCCCTATGAACCCTGAGCCCAAAGCCCTAACACCTGGCAAAA